ACATTTCTCATGACCTGTGATTGTGTTTTGATAAGTGGAGAATGCTCTAAATTAAGTATCTTAAGAAATTCAATAGCTGTGGCCTTCCATGAGGAAGATCCCATAGCCTTGGATCTTGAAACAGAAGGCTGCTCATAGGAAGAATACTTACATTCATGGTTCACAGTAGCCTGACTTCTTTCCGCGCCCCCTGCAAATCACTTGATCACATGCAAGTAATCATTTAGGCCGCTTTCACTGAATTAGTGCTTGCTTGCAAAGTCAAGAAGAAAACAGGTTTTATATGACAAGACAGTATAATATGCCACTGCTGAAATAATGTGGAAAAGAGGAGGAAGTCTCTCTTCTTGTAGCGTTTTATCTTGGTTACTGACAAGAAAGCAGAAAAGAGTATAGATCTATTTAAATATCAGATTTTGAAAACACACCATAACGTGCTACAGGCCAGACATGTTTGCTGTTTTCCCCATCTTTCTGTGCAAAATGTTCATTGCTTGTTCTGCCGTTCTGTCTTTGGGGTGCTGGCTGGTGTTCCCTGCTGAGGGTCTGGGAGAAAGGTGGTTACATCAGGATTAAATCCTTCCACATAGCAGTAATCAGTTTGACTGCTGCAATGTTTTAAAATTGTTTGAAAAATTGCATGCGTCTCTTAAAATTGAAAGAGCATTCTCAGTCAAAGGCATTGTAGAAGAACCTGCCGTCAAATTTGATCTCACGCCCCTTCTTATTGCTATATAGAGAGTACAAGAACTCTTTCAAGTGTGATTAACCAGCTGGTGAGTCTTATGGTTGAACAGGGAGAAAAGTAGAGTTGAAGACTGGGCTTGCTTTTGAGAATGTCATGTGCAGTAGTATCAGAAAGCTGTATGAACCTCAGGATATATCAAATAAAAACACAGAATGATTTGGGTTGGAAGGGACCTTTTAAAACCATCCAGTCCAACCCTTCTCCCGTAGGCAGGGACACCTCCCACTAGACCAGAATACTCAAGGCCCCATCCAACCTGGCCTTGAACACTTTCAGGGAGGGGGCATCCACAGCTTCCCTGGGCAACCAGTGCCAGTGTCTCACCACCCTCACAGTAAAGAATTTCTATCTTCTTACTCAGCCAAAAAAAAAGACTGAGTTGGCTTCTGATATAAGAATCTTGACTTTTTCAACACCTTCAACATCTTGTAGTTGATTGTTGAGTAGTTTGTCCTAATATCTTTGTGAGTTTCAAAGTCTGGCTATTTGCTTCATTCTCCTTCCCCTCCAAAAAAGGGAGGAGAATAACCGAATCCGTTCTCTTTGCAGTCCTCTGGGCCTCCCTGACTCAAGTTCTCAGAAATGTGCTTGAACTTTCAGATGCTGTTTCATAAATGCTCTGGAGTGAATTTCATCAGACCTTCAGGACTTGAATAGATCAAGCTCATCTAAATATTTTACCATGTTCTCTTTATGTTTCAGCCAGTCCTTTTTTATTTCTTTCTTGATTAAATTAATTGTATCAAATACTTGATTACAGTTGCCTGTTTGTATAAAGACTGACTTAATCGTTCTCTGGGTCATCTGTTATTTTCTTTCACCTGGCAGAGCACTTAACACTTCCTTTGTCTTCCTCTGACTTCACAAGTATTCGCAGAAACTTTCTTGCTACCATTTATGCCCCTTGGTAGTTGCCATTTATTTGTGACCCAGTCTTTCTGATATTAACTTTCCACACTTATATTATTCCTTGTACTCTTCTTAATTGTGTGTCAAATTCTTGAAATCCAGGACATTGAAGAGCTCTCGCCAAAGCCATGAACATTTTCCTCTGCATCAGGAATTTCCTCTGCTGTCACCTTCAGTAAAGCCTGTTTTATTAGGGTCTGCCAGCTCCTCCTCTAGGAACTTCTTCCTCATTCTGTGGGGGAACTGTTCTATTAATCAGTTTGCTGAATTTCTTGACATCTCTTTTAGGGGGAGCTCATTGTCTTTAGTCTTTTACTCTGAGTTTTAGAATAGTGAACTCTGGTATTCAGTGATCCCCTTCATCCATGTTAGCATTACTTTCAGGCTCTTTGTGAGCTCTTCTGTTACAGTCAGAATTAAATTTAAAATATCTCTTCTTCTAGTAACTTTCTACAGTTGTCCTCAATGCGTTCTGGCATTTCATTGGAAAGACCTTGTCCTAGCGTATTGCTTTTCTAACAGTTACATAGGTGGTAAATGGGACCTAGAGTTTAATTTCAAAGAACAGGAGTGCTTTTTAAATCTGAAATACATTTTAAGTATGGAGAACGTTGAGGATAACTGCTCTTCAGAAGAACAAGAAATTGATCGGAAAGATTGGGATGAGAACAACAGAGAAATATTACTGGAATTACGCACTTCTGCAGGTCCCCTCAAGAATATGGGAATAATTCACTTCCATTTACAGTGTGAAACGTACAGGTAGGCAGACAACTAAATACAATTAAACAGAGCTTTTTTCAGGTTTGCCTGACTGGGAAATTCAACTCTGCTGAATTGCTAACACAGGTGCAATATATTGCCTGTTCTTTTGTGCTTAGAGGCTGAGGTCCTGAAAGCAAATCTTGGCTGCTGATCTTAATCAGAGGAGCTTCAGTGCGCCCATTCTTTGTGGCTTCCCATTTTGTGTTGCTTCCCATCTGGGAGGGAAGGAAGGAGTTTACAAATTCAAATTGCCCATTTTGAAGGCATGGCAGGGAAATGATGTGGCCCCTTCCCCCCTTCACCATCCTGAGCTCAGGTCCAATAGAAATGGAATTTAATTGCATTTTAAACAAATATTAACAAAGGGTGAGACTCCACTCTTAAAATTACTAAAATCTTTTACACAACATATTGAATCTTCCAGAGCGTTAGATTTTTATCTGGAGTGTAATGAGGTGCGAAGCTGCTCTATGCAGTCTGCAGCGGTGTTTTGTGTTACTGCGTTTCTGGTGGAGCCACTTCCATTCTCAGTTCTATTCAAATTTGTTAGATTTGATAAAACATGAACTGGTGAATATAAATTTCTTACTCGTACTTTCAGCCCAAATGTGACTTCACCTTCTCTTACCATTCCTGTTCTTGACCTTCATTTTGAGTACAGAATTTTCTTGAGGAATTTTCTCCCACTAATTTTTAGTTATTAGAAAATTATAACAGTGTAAACCTACTTACAATTTTAAGTTCCCTTGAATGTGTGTCATGCAAAACTTCAGCATCGTTTATGTACTCTTAGATGTGCTTTTCCACTATAGGTCAGCACAGATTGCTAAGGACAGGCCAGAGGAGGGAACATAATTTGTGAGGAGGGAGTTTTGCTTAGTGAACTTTTTTTTTTTGCCTTTGAATTATGAATATTTGATTTTCAACCAACGTAGCATGCATGTGGCTGATTAGGGAAGAGTTCGCTTTTCTTGGCAGAAGAAACCTGATTTTGCAATAGGATTGTGAAGGACTGAAATGGAATAAAATACTCAGAACCAATGTTAAAGGTCAGAATATGTAGCAAAATTATTTTTTCCCAAAAATGGACGCATTTGGCTATATGATTAATTACGCTGAAAAGGAGTAGTTTAGAAGTGAGTCTACAACATTAATTGATCTGATGTTATAGATCAGGAAGAACAGATGATGACTGTTCAAGGTGATGTGCCTTCCATGTCTCGATTCTTAAAGGAAAAGGGGTAGAAATAATTACAAAGAAAAACAAGTCCAAAATGAAGCCCCAAATGGTTTACTCCGTCCCTGTTACTCTGCTTCCTTCATAATTACGGCTGAATATCAGCTTCATTGATGTTAGGTTTCTCTTGACCCGAGAGTAGGAAGATAAGGTTCTTAATATGTTTTGAGATACTGGCATAAAAATGTTGAGAAATGGACAAATGTTATTAAAACGTATCATTTTTATTTTATCTTAAATTAATTCCATGAATCAGCATGCATTATTACTGGTTTTTAATGAATATTATTAATTTTATTTGTTTTCCAGTGTTCGCATCTGCTGTAGTAACAGTTATATAACGTTACTGTAGTACCTTGGCACATTCCTTGTTTCTAAAGAAGACTTTAATGCAATATTTACACTTTAATATTATGAGACATATCTAAACAGTCTTCCCCACATTAAGGTTTCTCTTTATACTACCCCCACAAGGAAGGAAACATCAGTGTCCTGCTAAAGCAGCTATCTTTCATCAGAAATTGAAGCTATCAAAATTAACACGATCTTTGCACTGTGTTTACATACATACGTTTTCCAGTCTGCCTTTCTTACTCTCAAGCTATTCCTTAATCCTTGCTATGACAACCCAAACTTGCTTGTCAGTATTCTTTATTACTACATAATTGCTTGTCCATCATTATGCACACGTCCATTACATCCACAGTGGGTCCAGACCGGGCTCTTTGGCTGGAGGAGAGGGGTGTGTGTGTCCTTTATATCTGTTCTCCCCCATGTCACTTAGATGCCTCTCATTCCCCTTCTTTTCCACCTTACCTTGTTCTAATTTAGAGATCTGGATTTAGAAAGAGGTTGTGATTTAGAAAGGAAGATACTTGATTTACACTGCTGAACTTCCAGTGTTTGCCATCCTCACAGTACTGGTACCCAACGGGATCCAGCACCGAATGCTGGGCAGCGTCTTCCTTGGTTTTCACTGCTTTTGCTTAGAAAGCTTTTTTCTCCAGGTTCTTTTAGTCTCAAATGGCTGAAAATCAAACTGGTAGCATAATAATAAATCATAGAATTAATAACTGTTCAGTTTTGGAAGTGCAGCATCTTTATGTGTCGTATGTAAATGAAAAGATTATGTCCCAAGCTCAGTTTTCTTAGCTGGGTTGATAAAAGATTAATTAAACAGACCTTGAATTCAGGAGTGTAATTTAATATAATACTCACAACTTACTGTGAAAGGATGCTGATAGAAATAAATCCATTTCTTTGGCAATAACTTCCTTTTAAGAAACTGTCTAGTGCTGTGAGTAAGACTTTTCCCTATGTGAGCATTTTTAGGGCAGCTGCTTGGTTTGAATTAGGTTAAATATCAATTTATCCTTGAGGAACATTAAGAGTGAGAAACTGTGCACGTCACCTCCATTCTGATCCAGTGCATTTGTTTATAAACATCATGTTTCTCATTCAGAAACTTTGCATAACATGGAAGAAGTGAAGGATGGCTCCCAAAGTTTAATCCAGATCTCCTGCCTTCCCGAAATACCTCAGGAAGAAAATGCAGCAGAGTCCTGGGAAACTTTGGAAGAGGTACATTGAAACTCCCTTACTGCCACATTGGTGCTTTTTTGTTTTTAGCAACTATTACAAAATAACATTTGTTTTTTATTTGCAGAACTTGATTCAGCTTAGCCAGTTGGTGACTGAATTTTCTGTCTTAGTCAACGTGAGTATTAATTCTGCACTCTGTCCTAGGTAGAGTCTTCTACAAAAAGAGGGCGACTGGGTAACTCGCAGCTGGGGCAAACAAAAGCAATGCTTCTGCCCGCCCCCTGGACTCAGACTGAGCTGGTGTCACTTGATAGCAGTGACAGAATAGCAGAATAACATCAACTGAATTCATTGAGTCCAATATTCAAGAGTACAAAATCCTGGTCACTGTTAGGAACTGCAGGAAAACGCCGGTCGAGGCAGAGCGGTTTCCTCACAGTGAGCTGAGATGCCTGCACAGTGGTGCTGTCTTTGCTACCTGGGACCTGTGGTAAATACACCTCTAGTTTCAAAGCTTGTACATGAAATGCTTTCAGAAGTCATAGGTGATGCATGCAACATGTACATCAAATTGTCTAGCAGTAAGGTGGAAGGTCTTCGTTTGATTTTCAAGTGCCAACAGAAGAGGAATGTTCAAAAGCATTATTTTAACCACTTGGCTGCCCCGTCTGGTTAGAAAACTTAACAGCTCTCCCTTCCCTGTATCCGTGTGACACTGCTACAACTCTCTTTGTGGCTCTCCTCTCGATTCAGAGTAGTTTTTTGAGGAGGCAACAGTCTTCTGTTTCAGCACTAGTGCTGGTAACTGCTCCTAGGTTTTGTAACCAGAGCAACTCCTGATGTTCGAGCCAGTGCCTTTGGCTACAAGCTGAACATTTGTGGAAGCTCCACAGTGCTGACCGCACACTAATACCCAGGTCCCACTCATTTGGACAATTTCTAATCATAATGGTGATGACAGCTGTCACTGCACAGGGTGGGGGTTTCTCAGGTGCTTTTTCTTGCTTAATCTGAAGTTTCCCTCACCTTTATCGTGCCCTTTCTCTGATCTCACAATTGCAGCTACCAAAAGGTTGCACATATTCATCATCCACACTCAGTTCCCAATGTTTAGTTTTTCCTGTGCCAAAGGGAGTTTAAACCCACAAGAGTTCTTTAATTTCCTTGGTGTTGGGTTACTTGGGATGGATAAAATAGGTTTTATCCTTTCTGCTGAATTTATTCTGCTTCACAGATACAAAAAAAAAAGGACTTAAGATTCGTTAGGCTGGAGAGGGACTGCAAAAGCAGTAGCCTAAATGTTAGCAGCTTTAGCAAGAAGGGGGAGTTCCTGTTCCCAGGACTTTCTGGATTTTACACAAAACCATCATTAGATATAATAACAAGCATCTAAAGTGTGTGGATTGGGTAGTAGATGAAGATACCAGAGCTGGTGGATTCAGCAGTTTCTGAATTAGAAAGAGGAAAAAAAAATGAGAATACCTTTTCTTTTAAAGCTGAATATGAGCTATCTCATTATTTTGTGACATGAAACAGCCTGGGTACTGCTGAGATTAAAATAAGAACAAACAAACCCACAAACCCCTTTACCTTCTGCTGCACTGTGCTCTGAGGGAGACTGCATTTGGAGAAAGGATGGAACGTTTTAGTAAAAATCAGACAGTAAAACAGAGCAAGAGCACGTGTATTTTCAGTACTGTCACTGCTCTGTTTGTAAAGTTAAGTCAGTGTTTTATAATGTCCTGATTAACCACTTCTGGTTAGATTTCTCGGTGCAGCTTTGTGTGTTGGAGTTGGTACTGATCTTATAAATGCTCTTTATGGAATTTGTTTTGAATGTGAAACT